GTGGACGTGATGACTTGTAGTCGTCTCATTTAGACACTTGTTAGCATCCACCATTTTTTTTATTCACCAGTGGGGTATTTACTGACGTATTTTATGTCGCAAAATAAAAATCTCTTCATCTTGTGTTAACCACAGACCTTATTTCAGGCTAACAACCATAAACACGTTCAAAACACCATTTACTCTGAGACGAGGGAGGATAGTGGTGCAGAAATGAGTCCTAAAATCCTGTTACTGGGTTTTAGGACTCATTGCATCACTAAGGTGAAGTGTCTGGCAGGCAAGCAGAACATACCTGGCGGACGTAGGCAGAGCCTGGGATGGTGAAGGTCTCTCCGTGGATGTGGAAGGTCACATCAGGCAATTGGCCAATGCTGTTGCAGTTGACCAAGTACTGAAGCAAAAGAAAAATGGAGGAAAGAGTTACATGTTTTTTTGTACCGTTCTTTCAACAAGAAGAAGCTACGGGAATATCCTTTAACATTTGGGCACTTACGTCTCCGTTGTTGTTGGTAGCTCCCACTTTGCTGTTGATGTTGTGATGCTACTGAGGTCCAATAATCAGAGAAGTACCGGTGTCAACGATAGCCTGGCAGCCGCCATTACAGGCCACAACCTCACCATTGACAGTAACACTGAAAGAGAAACAGAACAGCATGCATCAGAACACTTTTAGAGATTTCTGGAGGACTTGTGATGCTGTGTTTTTGTTTCTTTACCTGTCCACTGTGATCTGCCAGTACAGGTCGCGGGAGAGGGGGATCCAGGAGATGGAACCAGAATAATGGTTGGGGTCAACGCCACCAAAGGTCACCACACTGCCTTGCTGAGAGTCACTGCAAAGACAGGAGAGAACATCATTAATTAATTATTTTATTTTGTTTACTTTATTATTTTATTTTCAGTTTATTTATATTTTGTGTGATCCTTTTATTGCCTTTCATAGATGCAGTGGTGGGAACTAACTAAGTACATTTACTCAAGTACTGTACTTAAATACAACTTTGAGGTACTTGTACTTCACTTTACTTGAGTATTTAAATGTAATGCTACTTTCTACTTCTACTCCACTACAATTCACTACATGCATTTAATACCTTTAGTTACTTTACAGATCTATATGTGTACATATGTATGGGTAGAATTTTGTTTATCTGTGTGCGTATTTAATTACGGAATTATCTTTTTTTAACTAACAGGAGGGCTACCTCTGTATTACTCATTTTGTTTGTTTTTCGGATGTATAAACTGTTATAATTTTTGAAATAGTAGAATAAATGATAAAAAATGAATTTAGAAAATGAAAAATTGTCAGGAAATCAGTTGCTATGTCAGTATAGAGCGGTGCAGGGATGATGTCTTTTTGTAAGCCGACTTGGAAGTTAGCATCCCAAGTTAGCCTCCCTCAACAAAAAGCTAATGGGAATTTTGGAATATTGCAGAAAATAGGATACATGTTTGTGATAATGACATGTTTTGATAGATAATCTCCACATATTAACAAAACTTTATGAAGACAAAAGCTAATGTAAGGCTATATCGATAAGCTAACGTTGGCTAATGTTGGGTGTCATGAAGTTTAGTCGTCACTTGTTAGCAAACGCCATTTTTAAATCCACCAGTGGGATATTTACTAATGTATTTTCTGTCGTAGAACAAAACTTGAAAATCCTTTCCAACCAAAAAACATTTTAAAAAACCTTCAAGACGAGGAAACAAGAAGTGGTTAAAGATGACTTATTCAATGGTTTTAAGACTCATTCCTGCATTAGTCCTCTAGATTGGATGATAGAAAGTTATTTATGTGCTTACGAGCTCAGGTACACGGAGAACATGTCCTGGTTGACCAGATTCTCACTCATCATGTTGTCGAAGACGGGTGTAGCGCCGGATGCAGCCAGGCGAGGGTACGCCAGGCCGAGGATACCGTCAGCGCGCATGTACTGCATGAAGGGAGCTTCAGTCTGACTCAGGCCGATGAGCTGGTTCTTCACAGCGAGTCCACCCACCTGAGAAACACAGCACAGGGATTAAAAACACTCTCAAACTACAACAGGATCATTTGATTTAGCTAATCAACAGAGATGGCAAAAGTACACACATCCTTTACTCAAGTAGAAGTACAGATACTCGTGTTTAAAAATACTCTGGTGAAAGTAGAAGTACTGACTAAACTTCTTTACTCAAGTGAAAGTAAAGAAGGCTTTGAAATGTACTTCAGTAAAAAGTACCCATAACTAGCAGCTGTTTTAAAGAGTACCTGACCTCCCTTTATATTAATAGAACAATAATGTCATTGTTAGCTAATGAATGTTTCCATGCTGAACAACGGCAACATGACAACGTTTTCATTGGTCCCTCTTCTTTAGAGAAGACCAGGAAATGATGGATACACGGATCGTGTTCAAATCAATAGGCACGCAATGACTCTAAATAATAATGATCACGCCACCAAACACACATTCAGACTAAAGGAACCAGCCTGTTTGGAAAATGTGAGAAGTAGAAAGTACAGGTATTTGTGTTCAAAATGTAAGAAGTAAAAGTAAAAAAATCGTCAGAAAAATAAGTAAAGTATCGATACCAGAAAAAATATACTTAAAGGTCGGGTAGGTAATTCTTCCTCACAGAGCCCCTCCTCCAACACACACGAACACGCACATGACCAATGAGTGCACGAGATAAGTTTGTGCACAGATGGAAGGCTGACAGGCAGGTAGGCCATCCAGTTACTTTAGCCGGCTCAGATGATTGGTCGTGCTTTTTACAGCGCCACGGCTTCCACAGATGACATTTTTTTATGGATTTTTTGTAAAAGCACTTCAGATATTCGTTGCTATCAGCATTCCATGGAATATATCAAAAAGTGTATCTCGAGCCGGTTTCTCAAACTTACCTACCCCACCTTTAAGTACAGTAACAAAGTATTTGTACTCCACTACTTCCCACCTCTGCTAATCAAGTAAAAAAGGTTGTGCAACACATACATAGGACACTTCAGCCCAACAGATATTCAGTGTACCTTCATCGTTAAACAAGTGAACTGTGAACTCATTTTCGAATATATAGTGTTACTAATTTCTTTATTTTCTTACGGTCACAGTGTCGTATCCGAGGAATCCGGTCATGCTGCCGGTGCCGTAGTGGATGCTGAGAGCTTTGCCGTTATTTCTGAAGGTGCTGCTGGTGCTGGGGTTAAACTTATCGTGGTTGTCTAGAAAGAACAGATGTAGGACAAAAATGTTAACAATGCTTGTCTGATAAAGTGTATATTTGTGAATTTTGTTTGAAGCAAATTACATAATTGAAAAGTAACTCTTAACTGTCTTGACCTCTTGTTTTCAATCTAGTTTAATGGACTGCCAATATTAACCTATGATCTGCAGTCTAGACTTTCAAACCACCCTAACAAAAACTTCCTCAGAACATCCGAGATAAGAGCTGTATAATAACAAGACAAAATGTGGACATTAAAGTGGTCAAATTACGGGAATTTACAATCTTTCCTTTGCAGATCTTTGACTAAACAACTCGCTCTGGATGCCTAATCACAATCATACTCTCTACTAAAACATGTCTCAAGACTACCGGGGTTAAACGTGTCCTGGTTGTCTAGAAAGAACAGATGTAAAGACTAAAAATAATTGTTAAATGTTTGCTGATTAGGTGTTTATTGACAATAACATATTTTGCAGTGAGTGCAAAGTCAAGTAACTGAAAAAGAACAGTTAGTAATCTTGACTTCTTTTTTTCAATTTAATATATAAATGGAATATTAATCTTGTAATCTAGATACTGGAATAACTAAACGGAGATTTCCACTGGTGAGATTACAACTCATGTTTGTCAAGATCTTGGTTTTCGTGTTTTATTTTGAAACTTTATTCCCCATGTCTGTTTTGACTTCCTGTCTTTGTGGGTTTTCCCGCCTGTTTTGTTTGACTTTCCTGGAGTTATTATGGCGCGTTTCCACTGCAGCGGGTAGCTCGCTTTAAGCGTGCCGAGCCGTGCGGGGCCCGTTTTTGGTTGCGTTTCCACTTGGCCTAGTACCGGCTAGCCGCTGGCGGGTCCTAATTCACAGTTTTTCTGGCCCCATAAAATCGTGGTTCTAGGGCCGGGAACAACCAGGCCTGAGTCGGGCTGAGTATGCTAAACTAGAGAGAGAATCGCTGTCAAGGGGGCTACAACTACAACAAAATGAACATATTTGACCGTGATTTAATTGTAATA